GCCGAATACCGAATACCTAAAAACAGGAGTAAGAAATAACAAAAACACAGTAAATTAATCATTTTGGTATTTAGATTTAATGTTATCGGGTTAGTGTTGTTTGTTTATATTTATTTATAACTTATAACATGCACAAAATAAAAAAGAACATAATATTAGTCACTTGTATTCACAATTTATAATTACAAAGATCAGCACACGTGCACACCTATTCGTTCGAGAATCATCGCACATCTGAGGGTCTGACCCTGCCTATCCCCCTTTTAAAGCGCTCGTCTTTGCTCTACCCTTTCTTTTTTCCTCTATCGCTCTAGTCCATGTATGCCTACGCATACATCATAATACGCGCTCACGATACTTTCGATTCGTCACTTTTCCGTCGTAGATTTCCCATTTTACAATTGCGTGACTCATAGCCTGGTGATAACGGAGAAAAGAGACAAATAGGACGTCGGTATAAGTCACAGTTATGATTTCACAGATACGAAACAGCTTGGTAGCCCGAATGTCCCCAGGCATTATTCACCTGTGCACGCTAAGTGACTTTCATTACAAGCATTTAGTTTCCGATGTCTAGGACAACAATTGTTTGGCATTCACGGCCGTGAATTTCGCGCCAATAAGCTGTTTCGAACAAGTCGAGGCAGCTTATTGAGTTGATAACATAATCGGCTTGTTCGATTATGTTATCAACTCAATTTCATATTTATTTTCACATTTTCACTTTGCGTTCCTTCTGTTCTTCTTTCGTTATTTACACGTGTAGGTCATTTCATTGTTATCCATATTTGATATCATCATTTATCACATACTGCCATGACGCTCTTGTCTGAACTGTCAAGAATTAATGCGATTGGCGAATCGTAGTGACAATGGGCCAATAGAGAGCAGGGTCCTTGCGATAATGCGGTTTGCGCGCTAATTTTCGTACGTGGGATAATCAAGCTGAATAGTTTGGCCGAATATTTGGTTATTCGGCTACGTTCCTGGCCGAATATTTATTATTACCGAATATTTATTGAAGTTGGATTTTGTGTCAGGCAAAAAATTGCTATAAACTTTATTGAGTGCAGTTTGTTGACTTTAAATTTCGTTCTGTCGTTACTAATAGTCATACGTAGGGCTTTACCCGCACTCCCTCGAACAGAGAATCATTGGAATTTTAATCAAGTTAAAATAAAATATTTTCTCTTAGAATCAAAGGAAAAGTATCGGCAATCAACCGCGCGTTATTATCTCTATAGCAATAATAATAATAATAAGTACTGTAATAATTTGAAAATATTTAAATCGGTTTTATTATTAGAAAGTATAAAATTTGCACATTCTTATTGATAACGATTTTTATAAATTTCAGTTCATTCTTCATCTGGAAAAGCTCTTTTGAAACATCGATTGAAAACGTTGGCGGCTTTATTTTCATCGGCTCTAGTAGGCGTGCCATTATTTCTCTAAAGAAAAAAGTTTATATATAAATTCTTTTTATTTAATGACGATAATATTAAAAATTCAACGTAATTATATCAATACAGTAGAACCTCCATTATCCGGATTTTCGATTATCCGGTTTGTTCAAAATAAACACAAATTTTACGAATTTGCTGATTTGCACTTGGCGAATTACGACACTGTTTATGTACGTGATGGAATGCATAGCTTTTTTTGTTTCAACAACGTCTCACCC